TGACACTTTTCTCATATATCAAATGTCCATTTTTACATGGGGATCTATTTCTGAGATCTCTCTTTCATTCTGCTTTTGTCTATCCCTGTTCCAGTGCCACACTGAAATATTACAGCTTTCATAATCAGTCTTGGATCTGGTAGAACAAGTCTTTCCACCTTATTCTTCTTCAAGAGCCTCATAGCTGGTTTTTGCCCCTTTGCATTTTAGAATCAGCTTATTAAATTACACACCTACATAAACACACACAAACAAACACACTCATTTACTCAACTGTTGGGATTTTTATTGGGATTGTACTGAATCCATAAATCAATCTGAGAAGAATTAACATTTTTACAATATTGTGTCTCCTAATCCTTCAATGTAGTATCTCTTCTTTTGTTTAAGTCTTTTCTAAGTTCTCTTAGTAAGATTTTTTTTTTTTTTTTTTTGAAAGAGTCTCGATCTGTCACCAGGCTAGAGTGCAATGGCGTGATCTTGGCTCACCACAACTTCTGCCTCCCGGGTTCAAGTGATTCTCCTGCCTCAGCCTCTGGAGTAGCTGGAGATTACAGGTGTGCGCCACCACGCCCAGCTAATTCTGTATTTTTAGTATAGACAGGGTTTCTCCATGTTGGTCAGGCTGGTCTTGAACTCCCAACCTCAAGTGATCTGCCCACCTCAGCCTCCCAAAGTGTTGGGATTACAGGTGTGAGCCACCACGCCCAGCCTCAGTAAGATTTTATAACAATATATTTCAACTCTTTCAGAACTTCAGTTCAACATTTTCCTAAATATTTCATATTTTTGGTGCTACTACCATTGTATTTTTCAAATTTCGTTTTGTATTTGTTAGTGGTATATATAGAATTACGATTGGTCCACATATTGATTTTAGAAAATTGTTAAATTATTAATTTCATAATTTATCTGTAAATCTTCTGGATTTTCAATGTATACATTAGATCATCTGTAAGTAATGCAATATTTTACAATTCTTACATATTTTGTTGCTTTTTCTTGTTTAACTGCATTTGCTAGATCTTCTGTACAATGTCAAATAGACAGTGATAGTGAATATCCTTGTCTTATTTCTGATTTCAGAGAGAAAGCTTATAACACTTTACTATTAAATATGATATTTACTATATATATTTTGTACATACTCTTATCAGATTAAATAAATTTCATCCTGTTCCTAGTTTTCTTTTTTCTTTTTTTTTTCGAGACGGAGTCTGGCTCTGTCCCCTAGGCTGGAGTGTAATGGCATGATCTTGGCTCACTGTAACCTCCACCTCCCGGGTTCAAACAATTCCCCCACCTCAGCCTCCCAAGTAGCTGGGATTATAGGAACCCGCCACCAAGACCAGCTAATTTTTGTATTTTTGTAGAGATGGGGTTTCACCATGTTGGCCGGGCTGATCTTAAACCCCTGATGTCAAGTGATCCACCCATCTTGGCCTCCCAAAGGGCTGGGATTACAGGTATGAGCCACCACACCTGGCCCTGTTCCTAGTTTTCTAGGAATTTTAATCATGAATGGATATTGAATTTTGTCAGATGTATTTTTGTCTTTATTGAAATGATCCTGTCATTTTTCTTCTTAAATTGTCAGTGTGGTAAATTACATTAATTTTTCAATGTTAAACCAACCTTGAAATCCCAGATAAATCCAGTTTATATTATTCTGTTTCTAAGGTGATTTGGTTTGCTGATTTGTTTCGCTGTTTTTTCATCTAAGCTCATAAATGAGACTGGTCTGCATCTTCCTTTCTCTTATTGTTCTTGTTAAGTTTTGCTAGTGTTATGGATGAATTGGAAAGTGTCTCTGAAAAAGTTTGTGTGAAATTAGAATTACTTATTCTTAAATACTTAATTGTATAACTGAAGAAACCATCTGGGCTTGGAATTTTCTTTGTGGCAATATTTTGTTTGTTTTTGAGAAAGAGTCTCACTCTGTCGCCCAGGCTGGAGTGCAGTGTCATGATCTCGGCTCACTGCAACCTCTGTCTCCCAGATTCAAGCAATTCTCATGCCCCAGCCTCCTAAGTAGCTGGGATTACAGGCATACGCCATCATGCCCAGTTAATTTTTGTATTTTTAGTAGACACGGGCTTCACCATGTTGCCCAGATTGGTCTCGAATTCCTGACCTCAAGTGATCCACCCACCTCAGTCTCCCAAAGTGCTAGGATTACAGGTGTGAGTCACCATGCTTGGCCAATATTTTGTTCTTGATAGAGTATTCTTTGTTCTTAGAGGATTATTCATGTTTTCTATTTTTTTCTGGGTCAATTTTGGGAAATTTTATTTTTTTAGGATAACACCCATTTCACCTAAAATTTCAAATTTATTGGCATAAAGTCGTTTCTAATATCCTCTTGTCTTTTAAATGCCTGTAGCATCTTTAGAACTGTTCCCTTTTCACTCCTAAAACTGATGATATTTGCTCCCTCTTTTTATCACTCTTGTCAAGCTGGGCGCAGTGGCTCACACCTGTAATCCCAGCACTTTGGGAGGCCGAGGTGGGTGGATTACCTGAAGTCAGGAGTTCAAGACCAGCCTGGCCAACGTGGCAAAACTCTGTCTCTACTAAAAAATACAAAAATTAACCAGGCGTGGTGGTGTGCACCTATAGTCCCAGCTACTCAAGAGGCTGAGGCAAGAGAATTGTTTGAACCCAGGCAGTGAAGGTTGCAGTGAGCCAAGATCGCACCACTGCACTCCAGCCTGGGAGACAGAGACTCTGTCTCAAAAACAAAATAAATAAACAAACAAACAAACAAATAAATAAGTAAATAAAATATTACTCTTGTCAGAGATTTGTGAGTCATTTCAAAGGTCCAATGTCTGTCTTTATTGATCCTCTTCATGTTTTTGTTTCTTATCAATTCGTGTGCTTTTTCTTCTCTTTTTCCTGGATATATTTTGCTGAGGCTTTTTTGGAGGGGAAAGGAGGGGCTTGTTGTTGGGTTTGTTTTGGAGTTTTCTTTGGTAGCTTTTTGACATGAATACTTAGCTCTTCGATTTTTTTAGCTTTTTTATGTTGCTAACACAAACAATTAAGGTGATACATATATTTTCTCTTAAAAAAAAGTCTTTAGCTTAATTCCACAAGTTTGATATGTATATTTTTATTATCATTAAGCAGAAAAAAAAAATTAGAACTTCCATTAGGATTTCTCCCTTGACTTTTGAGTTACTTGAAAGTATGTGCCTTAAGCCGGCATAGTGGCTCACTCCCATAATTCCAACACTTCGGGAGGCTGAGGAGGGAGGATCAGTTGAGCCTGAGAGTTCAACACCAGCCCTGGCAACATAGTAAGGCCCTGGCAACATGGTGAGACCCCATCTCTACAAAAAAAAAAAAAAAAATTAGATGGGGCATGGTGGTGCGTACTTATGGTCCCAGCTACTCAGGAGGCTGAGGTGGGAGGATCACTTGAGCCCAGGAGGTAGAGGCTGCAGTGAGCCATGATTGCACCTCTGCACTCTAGCCTGGGCAACAAAGCGATACCACATCTCTCAAAAGGAAAACGTATGTGCCTTAGCCAACCAAGCACAGTGACTTACACCTGTAATCCCAACACTTTGGGAGGCCAAAGCAGGAGGATCACTTGAACCCAGAAATTCAAGACCAGCCTGGGCAACACAGGGAGATGCCATCTCTACAAAAAATTTTTTTAATTAGCCAGGCATGGTGGTGCACACCTGTAGTCCCAGCTACTCAAGAGGCTGAGGAGGGAGCCTGGGAAGTGGAGGCTGTAGTAAGCTGTGATTGCTCCACTGCACTCCAACCTGGGTAACACAGCATGACCATGTCTCAAATATATATATTTGTGGAAGATTACTTCCTCCAGAGGTAATTTGTGTTTGGTTCTGACAGGCATCTGGGGGTCCATTCAATCCAAGACCCCCAAAAACCAAGTTCACAATTTGAGATTCTCTGGAATTCTCAGAGGATACAAATAGAGGCTAAGTTCTGAGAAAAGACTGGGCTGTGGTTTTCACAGAATTTTTTTTTCCTTTCCTTTTGCTAACCTTTTCCTCACTCAGTATCAAGAAAGTCTTCCCTGCAGTCCCCTGGGCGTGCAGTAAGAACAGTAAGTTTACTGCTGATTCACCCTAACCCTTACAGTGTAGCCGTTTGAGATTAGTCTAATATGGTAGGGAAGGTTTCTTTTTACTAGACTCCCAAACGTGGATAGGCCCTTGGCCTTGGCTTCTGGAGCCATCAGTCCAGGAGGCTAGCCAAACCCAAACTTACTTTGCCTGGATTTGCCAATTCTCAATCCCTCTCACCTGGGGCAAAATTACTTTAATGTTCTGATATTTCACTTACCTCTCTGGGTCTCTACGAAGAAAGGGTAGGTCACAGAGTAACTTTACCTGCTCATTTATATTTGGGAAATGTTTGAATGGTTTACAACAAGCATATATTTCTTTAACTTTTAATTACAGTTTCTTTAAAAATATCAAAGAGAACTAAAAGGCTGGCCAAGTGCGGTGGCTCACGGCTGTAATCCCAGCACTTTGGGAGGCCAATGGGGGTGGATCACTGGAGCTCAGGAGTTTGAGACCAGCCTGGCCAACAAGGCTGAAACACCATCTCTACTAAAAATACAAAAATTAGCCGGGCATGGTGGCGGGCACCTGTAATCCCAGCTATTCTGGAGACTGAGGCAGAAGAATCGCTTGAACCCAGGAGGCAGAGGTCGTAGTATCCGAGATCACACCATTGTACTCCAGCCTGGGCAACAAGAGCAAAACTCTGTCTCAAAAATAATAAATAAATAAATAAATAAATAAATAAATAAATAGAAGGCTGATGATAAAAACAGCAATCTCCTGTCTACTCCCAGTCCTACACCTCCCAGCCTGCACTCCTTTCATTGCTTTCTAGCTTCCAAAGATGTGTTAAAGTTTCTTATCTGCTGCTGCATTCTTTTCATCCTTGTAGGTTTATACAAAGCTCTTCTATTGCTTTACTGTCATTTAGTGAGGCTTCAAGAGACAAAATTAACATGCACAACCTGCCACTTTTAATTAGAAGCATAAAATCCAGGCTGATTTTGGACGTTAATACGGAGTGAATGGGATACATCAAAGAATGGTTGGCTGCTTGTTTTAAAGAGGTCCCGCTGGTAACAGGATGGTAGTGACGATGGCGGTGAGGACAGACCGGTGAAGGGAGAACCCAGAGGCTTGTGGGGAGAAAGGGTTTTTGTGGTTAGGAAGAGACGGAGGTAGGCCCCTCAGCCAGCTCCAGCAGGATAGAGACAACAACATACAGCACACAGGGAATTCGTGCCTCAGGGTCATAGTCCGTGTCATGAGGACTGCTGGCCAGCTCATCCCAGTTCTGCTCCATGATAGGTTTCACCTGCAAGGAAACCCACCAGATTGTAAAAGCTAGGAATAACGATATACCAGAAATGGCAAATATTTGGCCACACTCCTTACTGCTGAGCCGACAGGCAGACGTAATAATCCATCATGGCACTCTTTCCTGCAGAGCCCGGGGAGCTTCATACTCTCTCAACATAGTGGCAGGCTCTGCTAGTCAATCTGCACTGGAACTCAAGATCACACCAGCTGCTATCCTCAGACTAACCAATTTGCACCCCTCTCTTGCCCATAGATAAACAACAGAGCCTAAAGAACCCATTACAAATTGTCCTGGCAACTCTGTGTCCAGGGAATTGTCACAAACCAGCTGCATGGATGTGAGCTGGCAGAAAACTATGGAATAAGAAGGGGCTGTACCCTGGGACTTCCGGGTCCCTTGAGCATATGGGCATTCCCTTCCACTATGACCCTGGCCCTCAGCCCAGGCTGTCTCACCTGGTCCTTCAACAGAGGAAGGGTCCCCTTCTCCAGGGCCTCAGCCACAAGATGCTGCTCCTCAGACAGCTCTGGGGGTAAAGAAAGAGAGTGGTTGGCAAAAAGGAGAGATACATGGTGGGACAGGGCCTCAGTGGCTGATCACACCCAGAACATGCATCATCAAAAGGTTCCAGAGAGCCCCTGGGAGTGCTAGATGAGAGTTGCTCCAAACGGGCCTCTGAGCGACTCCTGCTTCCCTCTTGGCCTGCAGGAGGTCATAGACAAGGAACCACCCTCTCAATGCCTGGCCTGAGGAAGACATGAAGGGGTACCCCCCTGTGAACTGTGAAGAGCAATGTGCAGCCCCTCCTCCCAAGATGTGACTTCCCACAGGCCTCTCTGCTCACACTTCCTCCACCCCAGCCTACAGCGAGACCCTTCCTCACCTAGCAAGGCATCCAGGAAGTCCAGAATGGCTTCTGCACGCGCTCCTACCAAGATCCCAGCAGCATTAAAAAGGCTGCTTAGGAGACGATTGACTGGGTCCTCCATCTGCAGCTCCCCGAAAATCAGGACCTCAGATACCTAGGGCCAGGAGTTGTGGGAGATGAGCACCAGTCTCACCACAGCAGACCATCCTCACTGTGCCAACTGCCCTCCCCTCTGGCTCCTCTCTCTCTCTGCCCCAGTGCTTTCTTAGGGGCTCTTACTTTTTGCTCTAGATCCTGCCAAAGCTCCTCCCTGCCGAGGCACTTAGTGAGGAAGTTTAGCACATCTTTCCTCTTGTCCTCCGTCAGTTCCTGGAGGACACTTTCCATGTTCTCCAACTTCTCCGTCATGTTTCTGGAATCCTCCGAACCAAAAGACCCAAAGATTTTCCTGTAGAGGCAGCAATTGAGAACCTGGGCCACCCAGCCCAAAAGGCTTTATTTCTGAGGCTCTGTTATTTGTCTGCCTGTCTTCTGGAGACCACCTCTTTGTATCTTCCCTTCTTCCAATCTTTCCGTGTTAAAATTAAGCGTCCTTCTTCTGAGATACCTACCATCATTGCCTCCCACTGACCCCACTTCCATCTTCCATCTCCCCAGCTCACCCCCAGTCTAGTCCCAATCCCAAATTCTTCTCCACCTCCCGGAAAAAACAAAAACTTCGTTATTTGGTCCTTGCCATTCAAAGTGCAGTCCTCAGGCCACACTGGAAGTAATTAGGATTTGGAGAAAGTTAAAGCAGTGGTTCTCAACCTTGACTGCATGAGAATCACCCGAGGAGTTACTCCGAATCCTGAGGTCCAGGCCACACCCCCACAATTAAGTCAGAGTTTCTGGAGATGGGACTCAGTCACCACTAGTTTTAAAGTTCCCCCGTGTGATTTCAGGGTATAACCAATGAGAACCACTGCGTTTAGAGGAGACAGATGCAGCCTCCAGACTAAAGCTGAAACCTGCCAGGCAGTGCCCCTCCTTCATACCTACTCAGCTGACCCCACCTGAGCAGCAGCCTTGAGCCACTCAGGGTGGGTTGGTGCAGCCACCCTGAACACACTTGGCTATCACCCTTACCTAAACAGGATGAAGCACCATCCTTCTCTGCAGAGAGAGGAAGAGTTATTTCAGAATCTTTAGATCACCTCCAGTCCCCTGCAGACTTCTCTTCTGCAGATGGAAGTTTTGGAAGTTTTCACTCTTGCAATCTGAGCCCTCACGGGTGACGGGTGGTACCAGGGAGCCTGCATCCTCATCAGTGTGTGTCAATGGGAAAGCACTGTATTTGCAGACCCCTCCCATATCCTCAAAAACAGGCAGTCATAGGACCGTGCCTAGATGACTGAGGAAGAAGCCAAGGCCCAGAAAGGGGGCAGCATACACTCAGTCGCTCTGCAAATTTGGGTCAGACGTCTCTATCTCTTTCCAAGCTCTCTTAGGCAGTACAACCCTGCTGGCATCAAGGGGAAAACCTAGAAATTCCAGAGGAAGCCACACAATTCAGAATCACAGGGATCTTCTAGTCTCACTCCTTTATTTCAAAGTCAGGAAAGGCCAGGCATGGTGGCTCACGCCTGTAATCCCAGCACTTTGGGAGGCCACAGTGGGTGGATCACTTGAGGTCAGGAGTTTGAGATCAGCCTGGCCAACATATAGTGAAACACTGTCTTTACTAAAAATAAAAATAAAATAAAAAAAAACTTAGCTGGGCATGGTGGTGGGCACCTGTAATCCCAGCTACTTGGGAGGCTGAGGCAGGAGAATTGCTTGAACCCAGGAGGTAGAGGTTGCAGTGAGCCGAGATCACACCACTGCACTCTAGCCTGGGTGACAGAGCAAGACTCTGTCTCAAAAAATTAAATTAAATTAAAATAAAGTCAGGAAAACTGTGACTTGAGAGGCTGTAGAGCTAGTGAGTGGCAGGGTGGGACTAGACCCTGAGACTGCCTGACTCCAGTCCAGGACCCTTTTCACAGCCAGTGCTGTCATGCTGGAACTGGCCAAGTCATTTAATTGTGCTTCCTAGGCCAAAAAGCCTTCAGGGAGGGCTGTAAGCTCAGGATCCAGCTGACTGCCAGCACAAAGTTGTCCTAGGAGCAGCCTGGAAACCCTAGTCCAACGTACAATCCAGACTCTTCTCCAACAGGCTAATTTTTCTCCTGCGTTTGCCATGGTTCCCACCTGTGGGTGCATCCTACCACATCCTTGGACCTAACCACTCTATAATTCCATTTTTAAAAATAGTGTTCTTGTCCATTCTGAAATGACGAACAGGAAGCCCAGCAGCAGCTCACTCACCTTCTGGAAAGGATTTTGTTTTGTCCCTCAAACAAATATCGAAACCAGCACCAAAAAGGGAGGGAAAAAACAAGTTATTGGAGAGACCAGTTCTCACTCTGTAAATTCCCTTTCTCCAGTCCCTCTCAATCCCCACACCAGCCTCCAATTAAAAAAAAAAAAAAAAAAGACAACCTTTTTTTTTTTTTTTTTTTTTTTGAGATAGAGTTTTGCTCTTGTTGCCTAGGCTGAAGTGCAATGGTGAGATCGCGGCTCACTGCAACCTCCGCCTCCGAGGTTCAAGCAATTCTCCTGCCTCAGCCTCCCAAGTAGCTGGGATTACAGGCACACGCCACCACACCTGGCTAATATTTATATATTTCGTAGAGACAGGGTTTCACCACTTTGGCCAGGTTGGTCTAGAACTCCTGACCTCAGGTGATCCGCCCGCCTTGGCCTCCCAAAGTGCTGGGATTACAGGCGTGAGCCACCACACCCAGCCAAAAAAGACAATTATTCTCTTTGGAGACTGGGAGAGGAGTTAACGACTCTTATGTCATGTTCAGGCAAATCCTGGGTCAGCGGGTCCAGGTCCCCAGGCCACAGCATGGAGCCTCAGTCCTTCCTAGTGCTGAATCCACCCTTTTCCCTGGACCCCTCCACAACCTCCAAGCTCACCAGCCACCCACCCTAAGCTGACAGAGTCTGGTTGAATCCCACCCCCCACCTCACTGGTGTGTTTAGGTCTCCCCATCCTGTTCCCCATGAGCCTTTGCTTATTCATCGTCTCCCTGTTGGGGAAGACAAGCTGCTTTACTCGATAGCTCAGGACCCGATTTGGGAGGATGGTCACTTCCCTTTGGCCCTAGGAAAAAGGAGCTCACATTGACAGATCCCTAGGTGCTTTTACATCATTATCTTGCCTGATTTCCCAAACAATCCTGTGAGGCAGTCATTTGTATCCCCATTTTATAGACGAGAAAACTGAAGCTCTGAGGGGTCACCAGGTGAGTCAGTCTCACAGCTAAAAACAGTGGCAGAGCTGAAATTTGAACCCACATCTGATGCCAAAACTCATCCTGTTGCCACTGTTCATTCAACAAATGTTTACTGAGGAGCTGCTTTGTTCTAGGCACCGTGGCTCCTGTCCTCCTGCCTCCTAGAAAGGAGACAGACAAACAAGCAAAAATACACTTGTGTAATGATGAACCATGGGAAATGTACAAAGAAAATGAAGTCTGGGCGCAGGGCTCATACCTGTAATCCCAGCACTTTGGGAAGCCGAGGTGGGTGGATTGCTTGAGACCAGGAGTTTGAGACAGCCTGGACAACATAGCAAGACCTCATATCTATTTTTAAAAAAAAAAAAAAAGAAAGAAAGAAAATGAAAATGAAAAGAGGGCATCGCTAGAGAGTAACAAGGGAGGGACTGGGCAATGCCACCCACCCTTTCTTGGGGCAATGTGGCCAAGAGCAGCAGGGCTGCTAGGAGAGGAGTGAAGGAAGAGTCTAGGGCTGGCATTGCCTTGACCTGCGGTGCGTGGGCCAACGCTGACCTTCACAGTTCCTGCCTCCCAGGATCCTAACCTTGTGTTCATAGCTGAGATGACTCTGAAAAATCTGGTTCCCAAATTTATATTGCCGGTCGCTTTTCAGGGTTTCCTTCTTTACCGTCTCCAGAGTTTCTGTCACCAGATACAGGTTTTCTCTCCTATTAATTGATCAGAATGAAAAGGGTAGTTCCCTCTTCAGCTTCCTGGAGACAGTAGAGAGAGATCAGAGTTGAGGATCTCAGGGTCTTACATCCCACTGACTCTTCTCCCTCTCCGTGAGCCAGTTCCCATTTAAAATTAATCGCTTCTGAGACTGGAAAACCAAGGAACACAGCACCTCATCGTAGTTCACTTTACCCACCTTGGGGTGGAGGTAGGGGTGGGGTACAAAGTAGGGCGAGAGGCCGGGTATGGTGGCTCTCGCCTGTAATCCCAGCATTTTGGGAGGCTGAGGTGAGTGGATCACCAGGCACACATCTGTAATCCCAGCTACTCAGGAGGCTGAGACAGGAGAATCACTTGAACCCGGGAGGCAGAGGTTGCAATGAGCCAAGGCTGCACTATTGCACTGCAGGCTGGGCAACAAAGAAAGACTCCATCTCAAAATAAATAAGTAAATAAATAAATACAAACAAAGTGGGGCAAGAATTCACTAGCATTTATGGAGGATTACAATGTGCCAGCTGTGAGACACATTTTTCCACTTAACCTTCACAATCCTGTGACGGTAGGCAGAATTACATCCACTTTCCACGTAAGGATACTGAGGCTTAGTGACAGGTTGTGAATGGTCCAAGGCCACACAGATAGTAAGTGTAGAGCTGGGATTCAAACCCTGGTCAGTGTAAATCCAAAGGGAGTGCCCTTCCCATGACACTGAGATAGGCATCGGTGAAGCCCAAGACACCCTCTTCTCTGACGAGGGACTCCAGTTCCTTGCACCAGTCCCTGGAGCCAGCTGTGTCACCTGACCTTAGGCTCATGAAGCATCTGATTCCATTCCCGCTGGAGGAAACTCATGTTATGACCTAAAATGTCTGATGGAGTTTCTATTTGCAATCAAAAGGCCCTCAAGGAAGACATGGGTCCCTGCCTCCAATGACCTTCCCCTACCTATCCAGTGCCCCCACCCCGCATATAGATACCAATACCCTCACCTGACAAACAAGCATTCTATAATAGAAAACACTGAGGCCGGGCGCGGTGGCTCAAGCCTGTAATCCCAGCACTTTGGGAGGCCGAGACGGGCGGATCACGCGGTCAGGAGATCAAGACCATCCTGGCTAACACGGTGAAACCCCGTCTCTACTAAAAAAATACAAAAAACTAGCCAGGTGAGGTGGTGGGCGCCTGTAGTCCCAGCTACTCAGGAGGCTGAGGCAGGAGAATGGTGTGAACCCAGGAGGCGGAGCTTGCAGTGAGCTGAGATCCGGCCACTGCACTCCAGCCTGGGCAACACAGTGAGACTCCGTCTCAAAAAAAAAACAGAAAAGAAAAGAAAAGAAAAGAAAACACTGAGCTCTCTCAGAAAAATTCCGAGGGCCCTCCCTACTGTGGTAGGGAGGGGTAATTCAAAGGACCAGTAAAATTTTATTGTAAGCCTTTGTTTTTAATTTATTAATAAAAAAAGAGGGGGCCTGGGCGGAGTGGCTCACACCTATAATCCCAGCACTTTGGGAGGCCAAGGTGGATCACCTGAGGTCAGGAGCTCGAGACCAGCCTGGCCAACATGGTGAATGAAACCCTGTCCCTACTAAAAATACAAAAATTAGCCAGGCATGGTGGTGGACACCTGTAGTCCCAGCTCCTCGGGAGGTTGAGGCAGAAGAATCTCTTGAATCCAGGAGGCAAAGTTTGCAGTGAGCCAAAAATGGGCCATTGCACTCCATCTCAAAAAAAAAAGAAAAAAATAAAAAGAAAAGGAAAAAGAAAAAGGCACCTGCTCCCACTCCACTCAAGGAGAGCAAGGCCAGGAAAGCTGTGGGGCACCTTCCCCTGAGCTACTCCTCAATCTCCAACAATCCCAGCTGAAGAAAACAACCACAGAACTATTGTTGAGGGCATGGCTAGTGATGTCCTCTTGAATTGGAAGCACCTGCCCACCAGCTACCAGCACCTCTGTGGCATTTGATTGGTGCCACCCTGCTGGGGTGGGGTGGCTGCACTCCATGCAGGAAATGTCCTCCAAGGGTTGCTTTGCTTTCACTGTGCTTCACTTCAGCTCTCTTTCACTCAGTACCTACTATGTGCTTGGAGTCAATACAGAAAGGTTAGTAAAGTCAGTCCCTTGTCACAAGTTGCTTCCAGTCCAGTGGGAAAGACGAACATGGAAGCCACTGGCTTGCCCACAAGGCAGAGGCAAACAAGCACAAAATACTGATGTGGGCAGCTCAGTGCAGGAGAGCAGAGGAGAGCAAAGGAGAATGCCTCTTAAACCACCAGGTTTGGAGGCGGAGGTTGCAGTGAGCCGAGATCGTGCCATTGCACTCTAGCCTGGTCGACAGAGCGAGACTCCGTCTCAAAAAAAAAAAAAAAAAAAAAAAGCACCGGGTTTGTCCAAGTCAGAGGAATTAACCATCCTGGGGAACAGCAGGGATATGAGTGAACTGGGGGCCTCAGAAGGCTTCCTGGAGGCTGCTCCTGGGTGAATGAGAAGGTTTTCTGGAGGCAGAGAAGAGGAAGGCATGCTTGTGTAAAGGGCAGGCTGGGGGAATCCTGGAAGTAGAGAGTGAGAGGCTGCCCTAGAGAGCCAGTCCCCCACAAAGCTAATGAAAAGCAGGGAAAATAAAAATAAAAATAAATAAACAAATAAAAGAGCAGGTCCGCCACCCTTGAATCCCTTGGTGCCCAAGATAGGCTTCTTCCCCTCCTTCCCTGCTGCCCAACTCCAACCTCACCTGTTCTCAAGGGTATCCAGATACTGCTGGGATATCCGGTTCTCAGATATCTCGATTTTCTGATCGTGGGAGCCCTGGAAGCTGCCTGAAATTGTTATTTTTTTGGGCAATTTCACTATCAACTTTCCCTTTGAGTCTACATTATCCAGAATTTGAAACTCAGCCTTTTGACCTGGAAAAAGAATGGTAAAGGTCACTCTGGAGCGGACCCCCAAAAGATCTCTCTCCAAAAAACCCTCCTTGGGGCAGCCCCATCCTGGGCTCCATGCCACCATCCCCTTGCCTTCTGAGGGAGCGCTCCAGCTGTGGCTGTCCAGGAAATGCTGTTCTCACCAGAAGCTCAGTTACCTGGGGTCACAGGATCCCAGATTGGAGCCCACTCCTCCACCTTCTTACCATACGACCTTGGGTGAGTCACTTAACCTCTTTGTTTCTTCATCTACAGTAGGAGAATATTACTAATGTCTATTTCCTATATTTAGGGAAATTAAGGCCAGGCACAGTGGCTCACGCCTGTAATCCCAGAACTTTGAGAGGCTGTGGCAGGCAGATCACTTGAGGTCAGGAGTTTGAGACTAGCCTGGCTGATATGGTGAAACCCCGTCTCCACTAAAAAACACAAAAATTAGGGCCAGGCGCGGTGGCTCATGCCTGTAATCCTAGCACTTTGGGAGGCCGAGGTGGGTGGATCACATGAGGTCAGGAGTTCAAGACCAACCTAGCCAATGTGGTGAAACTCAATCTTTACCAAATTAGTCAGGGGTGGTGGCACATGCCTGTAATTCTAGCTACTTGGGAGGCCAAGGCAGGAGAATCGCTTGAACCTGGGAGGCAGAGGCGAAGGTTGCAGTGAGCCAAGATCAAGTCACTGCACTCCAGCCTGGGCGACAACCAGACTCCATCTCCAAAAAAAAAAAAAAAAGCAGTTATGTTGCTGTTGTTTGTATGAACCACACAAGTATGAAGTGAGGCAACCCTGGAAAGTCACCCACATGCATGGACTCTGCCCTGATTGATCAGGCACTAATAAGGGCCTTGGTTCTGAGTCAGTTGCTGCCCCAGGGTTCATGGATGATATGTGGGCATGCTGAAGGGGCTGCGTGCCTTTGTCTCCAACCTCCCAGATGGGAACTTACAGGGGAGGAAGAGCTCCCATTGCTAGGTTTTGGAGGCAGGACTGGATTTCCAAAGACAAATCCATTTTGGAACCGGTGGAAATGTGACAGAATTGGAAACAATGCCTGAAATCACTATTTGTGTGTACACGAAACACAAATGTCTTAGGGACCATTTGCGTCTTGAGCAGTGTAAAAGAAAAGAAAAACATCAGAGAGAAAAAGAAAAAGAAAAACGATGTGCACAAAGAGTACTATATGAAGAAGAGGAAAAAGAGTAACTTCCAGTAGAGAAACCTGACAAACATTACCTCAGCCAGGTGATCAAGGTCAACATCAACAGTGATAGGTCATATTGATGGTACATACCCCTGATGTGATGTAATAGGAATGGTACTTTACCTCTGTGGTCTTCCTCCCCGAGACCCAGAACCCAGTCTAACCATGAAAAAAACATCAAATTCCAACAGAGGGACATTCTACACTATCCCTGACCAGTACTGCTCAAAACTGCCAAGATTATCCCAAACAGGCAAAGTCTGAGAAGCTGTCACAGCCAAGAGGAGCCTAAGGAGACATGACAACTAAATGTAATGTGGGATCCTGGATGGGATTCTGCAATAGAAAAAGGACACTAGGTCAAAACTAAGATAACACGGGCTGGGTGCGGTGGCTTATGCCTATAATCCCAGCACTTTGGGAGGCCAAGGCAGGCGGATTACCTGAGGTCAGGAGTTCAAGACCAGCCTGGCCACATGGTGAAACGTGGTCTCTACTAAAAATACAAAAAATTAGCCGGGTGTGGTGACGTGCGCCTGTAATCCCAGCTACTTGGGAGGCTGAGGCAGAAGAATCACTTAAACCTAGAGGCAGAGGTTGCAGTGAGCCGAGACTGCGCCACTGCACTGCAGCCGAGGCAACAGAGCGACACTCCATCTCAAAAAAAAAAAAAAAAAAAGTTAATATGAATAAAGTATGGACTTTAATAACAAACAAAAAATCCTATGGACTTTAGTAACAAACAAAAAATTCTATGCACACTTTTTTTTCTTTTTGAGACAGAGTCTCTTGCTTTGTCGCCAGGCTGGAGTGCAGTGGCATAATCATGGCTCACTGCAACCTCCGCCTCCCAGGTTCAAGCAATTCTCCTGCCTCAGCCTCCCGAGTAGCTGGGATTACAGGCATGCAATACCACACCCAGCTAATTTTTGTATTTTTAGTAAAGACAGGGTTTTGCCATGTTGGCCAGGCTGGTCTCAAACTCCTAACATCAAGTGATCTGCCCACCTCGACCTCCCAAAGTGCTGGGATTACAGGCATGTGCCATTGCGCCCAGCTAATTTTTGTATTTTTAGTAGAGACAGGGTTTCACCATGTTGGCCAGGCTGGACTTGAACTCCTGACCTCAAGTGATCCACCCGCCTTGGTCTCCCACAGTGCTGGAATTACAGGCGTGAGCCACGTGCCCAGCCCTATGCACACTTTAACTGCACCATCAGCATTACATAGTTACAAAATAACCCATTTAAATAGGGAGCAGACCAAGCTAAAAATCAATTCAAATTACCAATTCCCATTATTGTAAGGATTTTCTTTTTTAAGTTTGGTTTCACCTCTGCCTCCGAATTTTGTCTGCACACAGATGAGCTTTTCCTTAAAGGAAGTTGACTGACTTAGTCAATTTTTTTTTCCAGACTTACACTTTGCCCTGTCACGGAGGAGTAATATTATTGTGGCAAAACATCCTAGTTCTGGGTTAAAGTATTTTTCCATTTCCAGTGAATTGATCATTTGGCAAACTGATTTTTTTTTTTTTTTTTTTTTTTTTGAGAGCTGGCTTTTAGCAAATTGGCTCTTGGCAGTTTACTTTTCAGAGCATTGACTCAGTCTTTGAAAAATGCGAATCTGAAATTTCTCCAAAAGTCCCTTGCTTGCTTAACGAAACTCCACTTGTGGAAAGGTCCACCACCTCCAAGTAATCTGGGTACCGCTCTCGGTCACTTAAAGCACTTCCTGGCACATTGTAATACTCTAAAACTGCTCAGGGCTGTTAGAGCTCTTTTCCATCTCTTGGCATGAGACCTCATAAAAAGAAACAGACTGTATCAGAGAGGTCTGAGCTATGAACTCCTTGCCATTTTTCATATTATGAAATATTTTTTCACATTGTGAAACATAATGAACTCCTCACCATATTCCAGTGTGGGCTCAAGTGAGAGTTTGACACTTAAACCCTGGGGCTTCTGAAACCCAAGTACCCCAGGAATAACTGAGATCAGAGGCAGGGGGATGCAATAATTTGACTCTTCCATAAATTCCCCCAATATCTTAGGGATTTCTGCTCATCAGCAACTCCCCTTTCAGTCTTGACAGCCAGGGAACATGAAAGGATAGTAAGAATCACCACCATGACCACCAGATGATGGGAGCTAACTTTTATTAAGTTCTCCTTTTGTGGCAGACACTGATAAATGATTGAAGTAATTTGTTCTAATTTGATTCTTTTTTTTTTTTTTTTTTTGAGACAGAGTCTTGCTCTGTCACCCAGGTTAGAGTGCAGTGGCACAATCTTGGTTCACTGCAACCTGCACCTCCTGAGTTCAAGCAATTCTCCTGCCTCGGCCTCCTCAGTAGCTGGGACTACAGGCACACACCACCATGCCTGGCTAATTTTTTATATATATATTTTAGTAGAGATGGGGTTTCACCATGTTAGACAGGATGGTCTCAATCTTCTGACCTCGTGATCCGCCCACCTCAGCCTCCCAAAGTTCTGGGATTACAGGAGTGAGCCACCGTGCCCGGCCCTCATTTGATTCTTACAACAGTCCTCTAGAGTTGACACATGAGGAAACTGAAACTTAGAGCAATACAACAACTTGTCCAAAGGTCACCCAGCTGATAAGAGGCAGAGCCAGGCTTTGAAACCAGGTGCTTCCAGCCCTAAAGCCTGCATCCTTTCTTAACCAGTAAGCAAACTGCCCTCACTTACTTATCCACTTCAATGATAAACACACGAGAAGAGCTCTGCTAAATTAAAAGCAGATTGTTTTACAAGGGAAAAATGGGAAAGAAAGACCATTTAGGAATGGTTTCCAATGGAAATAAATCTCCACTTCTCCCACTCTCCTCCCACCATGCAGCTCTTCCGTGCATTTCTTAAATTAAGGTGTGTGGATGTGTACAAATTCCACAGTTTCGTTGATTGGTTGATTTGGTTGATAACAATGGTGAATTGAGAAGGAGATGGAATACAAATGGTCAATGCCTCCTGGCTAGCCACCTGTCATCTACCTTATACTGACCTTGGAGCCCAGAATCCAGTTCATCTAACTGCTTGTCCCCATCTGTGTCCAGAATGTCCATCAGGGTGAGGCCGTCGTGTAGTGCCGGCATCCAAAGAAAGTTCTCTTCTTCCCCACCAGATGGAAGCAGTGGAATCTATCAGCATCCATGAGGCCTCTAACAGCAATCATATCCCCTCCAGCATCCATCTCCTTAACAATAATTCTTGTGATTTCCTCAAATACGCCGAACATTGCACCTGGACTAACTCAGAAATAGAAGCCAATTTCAGTTTTTGGGAGGAGGGTATTGGTTCAAGTATTTAAATCTTCCACATTTGGCAGCCTGAGGTGTCAGGCCTCTGGGCCCAAGCTAAGCCATCATATTCCCTGTGACCTGCACATATACATCCAGACGGCCTGAAGCAACTGTGTTGTAACCAAGAGAGTTGTAGAGAAATGCCACACTACGAGACTCATTCAGGAGTCCTTTATTGCCGGCGACCGAGAGACGGCTAGCACTCAAAATTTTCTCGGCCCGAAAGAAGGGGCTAGATTTTCTTTTATCCTTTGGTTTAGAAAGGGGAGGGGGAGCCTCACTGAAGCAATCTTACAGAAGTAAAACAGGCAAAAAAAGTTTAAAAAGACAAATGGTTACGGAAAAACAAACAGTTCCAAGTGCGGGGGCTTTAAATCTATCACAAGGTGATAGACACGAGGGCTTTGGGTACCATCAACCGGACACAAATGTGGGGGCTTAGGGTACTATCAACCAGACGAATTCCTGGGAACTGCGGATATAGCTTGCTACAGTATCTTATCAGTTAATTGCATTCTTGGATGTGCTGGGAGTCAGCTTGCACAAGTTAAGTCCTTGAGGAAGCGGGGTGGGTAAGGGGCGGCAAGTGAAGGAGCCAAAATGGAGTTTGTCTGGCTCTCTCAGCTAAGGGAGAGTCAATTCAGGTTAAAACAAGGTAGGGTATCACAACTGAAGATCCACAAAAGAAGTGAAAATAGCCTTAACTGATGACACTCCACCATTGTGATTTGTTCCTGCCCCACCCTGATACGATATAGTCTCCCCTGCTCTTAAGAAGGTACTTTGTAATATTCTCCTCCCCTTGAGAATGTACTTTGTAAGCCTATCCCAAGCCAGTAAGAACTAATGATAATCCCACCACCCTTTGCTGACTCCTTTTTCGGACTCAGACCACCTGCACACAGGCGAAATAAACAGCCTCGTTGCTCACACAAAGCCTGTTTGGTAGACTTTCTTCACACAGACACACATGACATGAGGTCAGGGAAGAACCAAAGGTTCCAGGACAACCAGTACCTGGAATGATTTGCCTGCCTTACTTCTAGAAGGTGAGGCAGCCATGACTGAGTAAAGAGGGCTAAACATCACAGATCCCAGATTCTCCTCTGCCCTTCATGAAACCCATCTGGAGGAAAAAAGCAGCAGCTACTGTCCCAAATAGGGAAAGTGAGACCCATTTTCTACATTTCCCACAGCAGAGTTGCCCCCTTGTTCCAAGGGGCCTGAGGGATGGAAAGGCAGGCCCACCATGCCCCAACCAGACTAGCGCCAATGTTGACGAACAGAGGAACCAGAGAGGGATGAGGGGCACGATTGCCAGACTTCACATTACTAACCTCAACTGGTCGTTTCTTCCCTTGGCTCTGATTCCTGGGCTCCCTGCCTTGCTGTATTCTGCAAGGCAGTTGGATGGGTGCCTCCCTACCAACAATTTCCCAATGAGGTGGTGGTAAGTTGGCCTCAGAAGAAACAAAAGCTTCCTGGGATCCACTTCCCCATCCTACCTTTGGTCACCTTCCCCTACATCCCTTCTGCCTGTTCCAGGCACTTATCCACTCAATGCTTCCTTCTCTGTCTCTGCCCTCATCATGGTGGTTGCCTCTCAATTCACCACCACCCTGGGAATTCCAGGTGTCTGGAAAGACAGTGCCCGGGAACCACAGGCCCATCTCAAGTGGTACCCACCTCCTCTCTGACCTCAGCTGTTCACCAGAAATGGAAGTTGTGAGAATCCCCGCTGCAGATCTCTGCACAGTTCCTGGCCTCTGAATCTCAGGAAGCTAAAATAATGAAATTGAAAGTAGTCCAGGTGTGGAACTTCCTGGACGGGTGGGTAGGGCTGGGTGCCTCACCTCCCAAGCCTTTAGATAAGCCATGTTATAACTAAGCTGGAGGCAGATAAGGCCAGAACCACTTCTTGGACCCAAGCAGTGCGTAGGAGATCCTGATATGTATTCTAGGTGAGTTTGGGCCAGACAATGGTGCACACCACGGCGCCCTGGGCCATGCAATTCAGTGTGTTTGGAATAGAGAAATGGAATATGAGTAGGTATCAAGTGCCAGCAGGCAATGGCTATGTCTGTGCCAGGGACATGAGGACTGTAACCCAGCAGAACCAGCTGCCCAAATGCCATGCGATGGTCAACACTGAAGACCCAGGACAACAGCAGCTAACACCTGGAGGGAACAGGGTGGGCCTGTAAGGAGCACTCAGCCTCCCTCCCCATCCATGCTCCTGTGTACACTCTCAAGGAGATGCTGCTCTTCCTTATCTGGATGCCACCCAGCTTCTCCACCTACCTCCTTCTCCAGGGAGAGGCCTCTGGCCTCACCCGTGTCCTCTCTCAGAGATAACCACCCTGGTGAGCCCAGCCTGTCTTCCGGCCTCTGCATGCCTCAGTTCTGAAAGAACATTTGAAGGGATGACAGAGGCCAGGCGCAGTGGCTCACACCTGTAATCCCAACATTTTGGGAGGCCAAGGCGGGCAGATCACTTGAGGCCAGGAGTCAAGACCAGCCTGGCCAACATGGCGAAACCCCGTCTCTACCAAAAAAAAAAAAAAAAAAAAAATTAGCCGGTTGTTGTGGCACACACCTGTAATCCCAGCTACTCGGGAGGCTGAGGCAGGAGAATCGCTTGAACCTGGGAAGCGGAGGTTGCAGTGAGCCAAGATGGTGCCACTGCACTCCAGTCTAGGTGACAGAGCAAGACTCAGTCTCAAAAAAATAAATAAATAAATAAATAAATAAATAAATAAATAAATGACAGTGGTGGTAGTAACAATAATAATAATATGGCTACCATATATTATTTACTATATGCCAGGCACAGTACTAATGCTCACAACAGCCCTAGAAGGCATTATCCTTACACAACAGTGGAAGAAACTGAAGCTCAGAGAAGTTGACACAGCAACATGGCTAACAAGTGGCAAAGCTGGGATTCGAACCCAGATCGTTGTTGATGTTCCCCAGCACCTCACCCTGACTGTACTCTTGCAGGCTGGTGAAAGCAACCAGGGCACCCCTACTCCCAGGAATGAGAGCAGTGGCTATATTTATCTTTCCAACAATGTGTGGGCTCTACTGGGAGAGGGCCCGTGGCTGGACTTGAGCAAATATCCCACATCCCTGACACTCACTCCAAGGGTGCTGTGATGGCAGACCAGGGCCAGAGACCCCAGGCTGCTGGGGGCAGCCCCTCCCTTCTATCTGGGACTTTGTGCCTCTCCTGAGAATAGCAGCTCATACTGCGCAGAACACGCTGGAAGGTCAGTGCCCTCGTGAAATAAGGATTCCTTGCTATAGGACTCCTCTCTCCTAGCCATGGTGGCCTCAGAAAGTCCCCAGAACCTCTTCCCCTGCCACTCAGGCTTATGGTGGGAGCAGGAAGTATGAAAAGTCCCCTCCACTGAAAGGCCAGAAGGAAATGCAGCGCTCCCAGGGGAGAGGTGACTGGGGAAAGGCCTTGGGGAAAGAAGTGAGAAACTGGAGAAGGGCTGGGGATTTACTGGGAAGGACTGGGCATCGCTTGGGACCCTGGCTCCATGTATAAACGATTGCTGGACTGCCCCCGTCCCTGGCCATGGCACAGGTCACCCCAACCTGTGGGGCCAAGGCACAAGACCAGTCAGAGAACAGCGAGGCAAAAGCACAGAGAATTTTGCTCTCTGACTACTGCTGCTGTCGCAGCCAGTTCCCTTACAGCCCCCTTGGGGGATTTCCCTGCTGAAGCCAGCAGAAAGCCCAGCAGTCCCAGCGCCCCTCCCGCCACCGTCAGAGCTGCACTGATACCCCACCAGCACCTCAGCCGGAGCTGTGCCCACACCCCTGCCCCCTCCCCTCAGCCTTCCAGGAAGCAGAGGCCAGACACAGGGAAACAGGAACATGTTGCCCTTTTATTTGCGTTTCTCAGAATACTGTACAAAGGGAGTAAAAATCCTATTCACACTTTGCTTAGAAAGATTTTAAGGTGAAAGTTCCCTATGATACATGGGGTGGGAGATGCAGGGCCAGGAGGCAGAAAACAGGCCCAGTGACTTCTCCTGCTCCCTCAGGCCCCTGGAAGAGGACACAGGGACCCACGCCTTTTCAAAATTAACACTGTCCCTAGTCAAACTGGGGAGGGAGGAGGCCCCGGCCCAGGTTCAGGCTCCCAGCCTCACTTTCTTCTCTGCAGGCTGAGACAGTGCCTACAGGCCACGCCTTGCTCCTTCCCCTGTGCTGCTTGAGCAGGGATCCTACAGGACTCTCACCACCGACCCCACGTGGGGTGGCCTCACAGTGCCACATGTGCCTGCCACATAAGAGGCCCTGCCCAGTACCAGTCTGCATGAGGAAGCTAAGGGGTGAGGGCCTGCAGAGGACCACAGCATCCATTGTTTCTGTCACAGCTTCCCCATACCCCTGCGGGAGTCAGGGCCAAGTTGGACCTGTGCTTACAATGACTCATGGGCCTTTTCCCCACCTGTCCACCCAACAGCCAACCCAGGAGTTAAGCCCACAGCAGCCTCCCTCCCCTATTACTATCACATTCTGTGGGTAAATCAACCCTCCAAGCCTGCTTCCCTCCCTGCCCACATCCCAAAGGAGACTGGCTCTAGCTTGTGTCCCTACCCCTCCCTCCCTTACACCAGTCCTCTGCTGCTACGTGGCCCCATTCTTCTAAGTCTCGACTCACTAACCCCCTACAGCTCCCCAACCTCCACCAGGCCAGGATGGCAGCAATCCTGGCCCCTCACCTCTGGGACCAAGCCATCCACACTCCACCCCATCTCCCCCCACCTGACCCTCCCCACTCCCACCCAGGGCCCCAGGTGAGCTGCAGGGAAGCTGCCAAAAGCCTGAGACTTGCATCAGACAGCTCTCTACCCAGAAGGGCAAGGCCCCATCCCACACTTGCTTCCATACACAAAAGCACACACTGCGTGTCATCGAAAAAACCTAGGAATCACAGTGACACAATCCAGAAGCCATACCGCCCTCTGCTCCCTCCACAGGGGTTAAAGTGCTTTGGCTGCCTGAGGGCAAACAAGTGAGCAGGGGTTTTTCCCCTGGCCTCCTGTCCCAACTGCGTGGTCCATGTTCAGCCCAGGAGCCAAGCCCATTCCATGACCACCTCCATGGAGTCTCTATTCAAAAAGCAAAAGGAAAAGATCAAAAACTTCAGAAAAAGTCAGAGCCCGGGGGGCCTACCCCAACCCCACTACAAGCTACTCCAAGTTGGCTACTGGGGGAAGCGAGGGGGGAAACTAGGCCCAGAGGCTCAACCCCCATCTCTGGCAGTGTCCAGAGGCTTCTTCTTTCTGTCTTCAGTGTCGCAGCACATGCCTTTTACCCTACCCCTCCCCTGCCACCCTGGGCAGGGGAAGGGGCTGCACCCTCAGTACTTATTGATTCCAAAAATCCGGACTCCGTGGAGCTGGGGCAGCTTGGGGATGAGCACGCTCATCAGAGACACAGTGTTGAGGACGAAATGGATCTGGTCGTACTTAGTGTAGAAGCTGGTGAGGAAGTACCTGGGAGGGGAAGGGTGAGGAGAGAGATAAAAGACTGTTGGGAGGACCCCTTCCTCCCTCACTTCCTGCGTAGGGAAAGGCAGAATCCTGACGGCTAAGGAGTGACAGAAGAGGTCCCCAGACCAGAGTAAGAAGCAAGAGCTCTCAGGCTAAAGAGGCCCCTCCCGGCCCAGCGCCGCCCCCACCTCCCAACTTCACCCCAAGCCTGTGGGCCTATCTCACTAGCAGAAAGAAAGCTCCAATGGAGGAAAGACGAGGCCAGGGAGACCCAAAGCCTGAGCTCAGTCTAAGACCCAGTAATATTCCAACTTCCTCTGTTCATCCCTACACCAGGAGCCACAGCAGGGTTAATAAGCATGACTGGGCCCTGGGGTCCTCCAGGCCTTGCCCTGCCTGCTGGTGTCTTCCTGTAGCCCAGGCACTCACAACACGATGGGTGTGATGGTCAAGAACTTCCGAGAGGCCGTGAACTGGACCCCATAGTCCATTTGCTCCCAGTGGGTTAGCAGCCTCGCCTTGCCCTGGTCCGGGGTCTCAAAGGGTGTCCCCTTCACCGTGTGCAGGAAGATATACATGCCCTGGAGAACGAGGTCTTTGTTACACGATACAAACGGGAAAAGGCCCCCCTGCCCAGCTCCTCCACCCAGTCACAGACAGAAGTAACTCCCAGTGATCTGGAGCCTCCCTCTGCTGGGCAGGGGGATATGGGCTGGAGGTCAGGAAGGAGAAGCTGGGAGCCTGGCAGGAGAAGAACAAGGGGACTCCCTGGGGGACAGGCTAGGCCTGGCATGAGAATGCATAGCCACGAGACAGGCACCGAGATGCTGCCCCTCCAGGCCACTCATAGCCCCCTGTGCCTGCTGGGAGGAGGCAAGCGGATGGGACTAAGCCCTGCTTACGCTCCAAAGAGGGCAAGGTAGCAAGTGGTGAGGGAGCAGAGAAGGGCAAGAGTAGAAGATGGTTCAAGAAGCTAACTTGAGAAAGGGGTATTTCTGTACCAGCCTAGGCACCAGGACTCCCAGGTCCTGGGCACTCTCTGGAGTCCTTTGTTTAGCTCTCAGGGGCACATCTTCCAGGCCCACAGCCACCCCACCCAAGAGATGTGGAAAAATCTGCAGATTTGATTCCTATCATAGTACACAGGGCAGGAACCCAGAAGGGGGAGCAAGGCAGAGAGATAAGGACTAGGCCTGGGCTCTGGAGGCAGACGCCAGTACGTCACCCTGACATCTGGGCCAGGCCCCACAGGCTCCTCCTATCCCTCAGCCCTGCCAAAGAGCAGCCCAGAGGGCAGGAGCAGGCAGCAGGCAGGCTCTCACCATGTTGTGGATGAGGTTGGTGAGGGTCCAGACGACAGGCACACTCACGAAGGGGATGCTCAGCAGCACGACGTGGAGGAGACCGATGGCCAGCACGTAGGAGAGCCAGATGCCGCGGCTGTTCATCACCCGCGTGTTGGGGTTCACCTCGCTGTGCGCTGTGCCCACATTCATCCTGCTGCCCCTCTCCACTGTTCTGCAAACAAGCAGCACAGGTCAGACAGGTCACACTGCTTTCCCTGCACCCTCTCACCCTCGGATCCCACTGGGAGGCAGGCTCTTCTTTCCCTGAGAACTCCAGGCAGTTCCACTCTTTTGACTCTCAAGCATGGAAGGTGGAGAAAGTCCATGTGGACTTAGCTCTACTCATTTCCTGCTGCTGGGCTGGGATAAACAGCAGGCTGCCCCACGCATTATCCCACTGGGACAGGGCCCCGGCAGGGCATCGAAGGACAGGTCATCAAGAGGCATGCAGCCCCAGAGCAGAGAAGTCAAGGCCCATCCCCCAGCCTCACCCCTTATGGCACTTCCATGAGGACCCTCTGCCGACAAAGCCCCAGAGACAGAATTCTCACTCAGCATAACCCCTGCTGGACTGTGTCTCACTGAGGGCCTGATGTGGGACATCCACTCTTAAGCCCTTCCCATCAGGAGGGAAAGAAGTGAGGCCTGTGGGTACAG